AGACAGATGTGGGAATTCAGGATCATTATGGTAAAGTGGCACCAATAAATACCCCAGATTTTCAGTTGGAAACTCACAGTGGCTAATCACTAGGAGGAACAGCAGAATTTAATATGTAAGCCTAGCATCAGTCTTTGATACAATCACACTGGTCTGGCTGCATTTCATATGATAGACAGAAGAAAACACACCCTCATGGGAGAAGACCATACAATCCAGAGCCCCCATGGGCTTTAAAACACAATGTAAGGCATCGGATAAACTCAAAGGCAAGCAAAAAACAAGACAAAAATGACTGAAACTCAAGAGAAACTGCAAATAGAAACAACCAACACATAGTAATTCACTGTTTTTTCAGAGTTCTGAAATAATTTTAATTAATATGTTCAAGAACATAAAAAAGAAGACTGGGAATTCACTAGGGATTTGGAGTATATGGAAGAGTCAATGAGTATTTTAGAGCTTGAAATAATACATGAAATTAAATTTCAAATTCAATAGATAGAGGAGAAGCGAGACCAAGTGAACTAGAGAACAGGTTGGTAAAATTTATATAGGTTCAAAATTTATATAGTACAGGGAGATGGAAAATCCAAAAGATAGAGAAATAATAAGGAACATGGTGAAAAGGCTTTGGGGGGAATCCTAAAAGAAAGACAGAGAGAACGTATTTGGAACAATGACTTGAAGAATAAGTGATTGGGAACTTCCAATAGGGAAAGTCACCAACCAACAGATTCTGTAACTTTATTTGCTTTTAAAAGTAAGACCACACATAGGCACCCTACTCAAACTCTTGAAAATCAAAGACAAAGAGGGAATCTTAAAGATGGCCAAAGAGCAGTGGGTGATGTAACACCTGTAATTCCATCACTAGAGGGCTGAGTCAGAAGGACTACAAGCTCCAGGCCAGCCGCGGCTGCAGTGTGACCCTGTCTCAACTGTCTGTCGCCCATGTGGCTAGAGCAAAAGATATCTTATCTTCAAAACAAGACTTACAGTTGACTTTGCCACAGAATTTAAAGAATGGAATGACATTTTTTAAGTGGCATACCTAGGATTTCACATTCAGTGGAAGTATCCTTCAAATTAAAGGCAACACTGAACTGTATGTACATTTTAAGTGCTTGATTCATACTGATAAGCAAATTTTATCCCAACAAAGGTGTTACAAAAAAAAGCAAAATAAATATTTAAAAAAAAGTAGAAACCAAGAGAATTTACTGTCAGCAGATCTGGCATTAAAAGAAACAGTATGTGTCACCAAGTGAAGTTTTAGTTAAGGACAGACCACAGGTGACAGTGGTCATGAAGATGATAGAATGTAGTGATGTCATAGCTGTCTTGTCTGTGTGTTCTTTATGCTGATTTTTGCATAATGGTGAACTCACCTAGCTGTATTTCACAGATTACAAATCCATTCATATATTTATTTTTAATTATGTGTTTGTGTGTAGGTACGTGCACACAGGTACAAGTACCATGAAGCTGGAGGTACTGGGTCCCCCTGGAGCTCATTATGGTGGTTGTGAGCTGCCTGATATGGGTGCTGAAAACTGAACTACAGTCTTCTGTAAGAACACTTTGTACTCTTAACCACTGAGCTGTCTCTATAACCCCACCTAAGACCATTTTTAAAAGAATTCTCCAGACAAAAAAGATAATCTCAGGTGGAAATAAGGAAGAGTAGAATGGAATAGAAATCATCAGAAAGTATAAAATCAAAGGTCAATAAAATATGAACTTTAAAACATTTAATGCAAAATTTTGTTTTACTCAAAAGAAAAGGGTAAAAGGTAAACAAGAATCAAGGAGGAAATTGGCCAAATGGAAAACAAATTGTTAATATGGTATACTTAAAAGTGGAAATCAGAGATCAATTAACTAGAGAGTTACATACACTTCAATTTGGGGCCACTCTTCCATAAAACAAACAAACAAACAAAAAACAAAACAAAACAACCCCAGGACTCATTTCATTGAGGTCCCTGTAGGGATGCATTACTGTACATAGACTTGTAACTCACAGGGAAAAATGATGCAAGAACAAGCCCACACACCAAGTGTGGGGATTCCAGTGCAGGTAAGCAAGCCAGTGCAGATTGTCATGGAGAGGAATGGGATCCATTTGATCTAAGGCTTGACTGGACCTTTACTCCTAATACCCACAGAGAACATAAGGAACATTACTCTTCACTTTTTCCTACTTACCTTTTGGTGAGATGGATTCTTAGCTTTTCATAAAGCTGTTAGAAAACAGTTTTATCAATGGTAATGCCTTAAATTATTCTCACCCAGTTTCTTGCCCCACATCTCTGGGTGTGCACTACCTCTAAGAGAACTATGCCAACTGCACATGGAATGCCAGCCTTAGAAATCCCTCTATGTGTGCATGTGGTTTCCTCTTTAAAAACCATCATGCCAGTAAGGCTTTTAGAGATGTTTCCCCAAGCCTTGGTACTTAAGGATTCCTGTTTTATGTGCTGCAGCATATCTGTTTTCCTTCTCAAGTCTCTGTCTCAGTTAGGGTTTCTATTGCTGTGAAGAGACACCATGACCATGACAACTTTTATAAAGGAAATCATTTAATTGGGGCTTGTTTATAGTTTCAGAGGTTCAGTCCATTATCATCATGGTGGAGAGCATGGCGGCGTGCAGGCAGACAGTGCTGGAGAAGGAGCTGAGAGTCCTACATCTTGCAGGCAACAGGAGACGGTCTCTCATATTGGGAGTAGCTTGAGCATTAGGAGACCTCAAAGCCCACTCCCACAGTGACACACTTCCTCCAACAAGGCCACACCTCCTAACAGTGCCCCTCCCTATGAGCATGTATGGGCCAATTACATTCAAGCTACCACATTCACCAAGAGATGAGTATTATTATATACTGAATTAGTCCTTTTACCCATGCTTACAGTCTTGGCCAGCAGGATAGGAGTACAGAACCTAAAGGGCACTGTGAAGAATATCCAAATGCTCACCACGGTCATGGGTATTTTTTTAATGGGGACAACTGTCACATATTCATTACAACAGGCAGGGCTCATTTTATACAACCAACCTTATGAAGGGAAAATTTCACTGCAGGTAAAATGTCATGTGCCTTAACGTGACTGGATTTTAAAACAAAGCAAACAAGATAAACGATAATTTCCAATCTGTCTACAAGAAGAAATGTCAGAAAAAAAAACCATGGTATTTTTTGAAAAATTGCTTACATTTCTTTTTTTCCTTTTTTTTTTTTTTTTTTTTTGGTTTTTCGAGACAGGGTTTCTCTGTGTAGCTTTGCGCCTTTCCTGGAACTTGCTTTGTAGACCAGGCTGGCCTCGAACTCACAGAGATCCGCCTGGCTCTGCCTCCCGAGTGCTGGGATTAAAGGTGTGCACCACCACCACCTGGCTTACATTTCTTTCTTTCTTTTTTTTTTTTTTAAAATAGGACTTCAAAGCAAAGATTTAAAAAAAAAAAAAAACCCTAAATGAAAAAAGGAAAAAGAATAAAACAGGATTTTCAAACTGGACAGATTTTTATAAACGCATAAAGATGAAAAGTGTTGTGCAGTGCAAGAGGATGAAGTAGACAACACAATGCCAGGCACTGCCCCAGATTCCCGTGATCCAACAATCACATGATACAAGAAATACACATTTGCTCATCTTAAAATTCAGAGCCTTATACGCAGTCAAGAAACACTCTAACTGGGAAAATATTACATGTCCTTCTTCCTATCCCAGCAGAAATGCACGAAGGAAATTAGGCCTGGTGAACCGCTACCAAGAATCCTGTCTTTTAATATGTCTCCTAATATAAAACGTTAGCCTTTTCCCCATGGTTAGAAATGATGAAGGGAAAAAGATAGCTGTCAGTCAATGGTACTCACCCCAAGTGAGTAAGAAGACACACACTTGGGGGTTGTTTTACTGTTTTACTCTTTTCTAGCCCAGCCTTAGGGGGAAGAACTGGCACCCATTTCCATCACAAATTCACCAAATAGGATGAAGAAAAAGCCAGAGGTATGGAGAAGAATCACTCAGAATAGAAATGTACTAGTTTTTATAATTAAACTGGGGTTAGGACTGGATGTATAAAGAAAAGGGCTCAATAGAAATACCTCGAAAGCTCCAGAGCAAGTGATACAGACGTTGAGGACGGAAGTGAGGTTCATCAAATGTTATGCTACTGTCCCTTGGAAAACACATCCCCCTCCCCTCATAGAAACAAGGTCTCACTGAACAGCCCAGGCAGGCCTGGGTCTCCTAACCCTGCCTCAGCCTCATGAGTGCTGCAATCACAGGCATGTGATGCTATGCTCACCAAATAAATAACTATTCTTAAGGAAATCATTCTCAGGGCTAGAGAGATGGCTCAGAGGTTAAGAGCACTGGCCGCTCTTCCAGAGGTACTGAGTTCAATTCCCAGCAACCACATGGTGGCTCACAACCATCTGTAATGAGATCTGGTGCCCTCTTCTGGCCTGCAGGGATATGTGCAGGCAGAACACTGTATACATAATAAATAAATAAATCTTTAAAAAAAAATCATTCTCTCCAAAGAATGTCCCAATTGTGAGTGAAGTTACTTAATAAGATAAGAATAAAACTTGCATTGCTGTAGCTGCTCTTTTCTTCAAGGTCACACCTATAACATTTGAGATATACTTCTTCCTCTGTGAATCTTATGGATTCCCCATCCTTGAATCTTAAAGTGACTCATGGGGACTGGGAATGGTGGCTCATGCCTCTAATCCCAGAATTGGGAGGTGGATCTCTGTGAGTATGAGGCCAGCTTGGTCTACATACTGAGTTCCAGGACAGCCAGGGCTATGGAGAGAGACCTTGTCTCAAACAAACAAAAAAAAGTGACTGGTATTTTACGAGAGCTTGCTATGTTCATTTTAGAGATGGATGATAATATCAAGGGGCAACAGGCATTCCCATAGTACAGTTAAAGATCAGAAATTGGGGTGTTTGGGTATAAGACATTTGAGAGGCCAAGCAGTGTAAACTGAAGATATTTTATTATAATAATTCATCCATGAGACAATTATTCTGACAGAATGTAAGTAACACAAGAATTTAACTCAGCAGACTAAGGAGTATTAGGAGTGTTACCACACAAGCATCCCAACTGTGCTGTTCTTACTGGCCTCTGGGAAAACAACAGAGCTAACAATTAGAAATCTCCAACATTTTAAAGCAGCTTGTTCTTAATAAATCTAGCCAAAATATTTGTTGGAAATAGAAGAAAAGTGGCCCGGTAGTGGTGATACACACCTCTAATCCCAGCACTCAGGAGGCAGAGGCAGGCAGATCTCTGAGTTCGAGGCCAGGGCTACACAGAGAAACCCTATCTCTAAAAACCAAAAAGGAAAAAAAAAGAAGAAAAGAAAATTAGAAGTAAAGTGAACAAGTACACAATAAATTATATGCTTTTATAAAATACTTGAGTTCATATTTAGATAAAGGATTTCCTTTATTTAAAAAAGAACAAATCACTCACTGTTACCCTAGTAGGATTCTTTAAAATAATCACCTTACATTTAAAATATAGCCATTTGCATAATTATTTAATTAGCAGTAATCTCAAAGAAAAAGGCGGTTTTCATGCACAAATGAACCTGCAACTTCAAGACAGATAATTATGTTGAAATTCACTTCACTCCAATAGTTTAATGGTTTCTATAGAGGCTTGAAACCCATCAGTTCTCAAGATAGCTAAATTAGTTCATTCAGCAACAGGATCTGGCACAATTACAAAAAACTGGTCTACTTTAGTTTTGTTCCCCTATCAAATTCCTTTTCTTATTATCCGGGCCTTTCAATATATCAGGCACAGGCGATTACAAAATGTGTGACTCGGGATATGCAGTGGTCTAAATTACACACAATGTAACCAATGAAGAAGGGTGGGATGACTTGGCTCTACCCCCAAAACTATTGTAATAAAGAGAACTTAAAGCAGATATTTATTTTCTCCGATCTACTTCTATTTTACTCCAAAAATCAAGTCATTTCAGTTAATATTTTGTGCACCGGAAGAGGGCACAGAATGCCCCGGAGCTGGGGTTCCAGCTGTAGTGAGCTGTCTGACACAGATGCTGGGAACAGAACTCACATCCTTCTGAGAGCCGTGTTTGCTCTTAACTGCTGGGCCATCTCTCCAGATCCTCACTTCATATTTTTGCATGTAGCGTTTTTATTATTTAATTTTGATGTGATCAAGTGAAAGTTTTATGATTCTTAGAGGAAAACTTGTCCACTAACACAGAATCTGCAAGGGATCATTAGGTGGTGTCTTTCAGGTGCTTATAAATTGGGTGACGGTGGTAGCATCTTATTGAAGGCCTGGGCTGTGAGTTTCTTGTGGTCTTTTCTAGATGATTCAGTTAGGCTCAACAGTTTGCAGAAAGCCTTACCTTTTCTTCTTACTATACCTGACTTTTGCCCAGTGTCTATCAAATCCTCCAGAAGATACAAGGTGATGAAATGAAAAACCCATCAATTTCCAATATTGACAATGAACTAATAAATCATGAGGAGGGTTGAACCACTTTTCTGGATTACCTTTTGTTGGCAACACAATCTCCTCAGTTTGTACTTTGCAACTTGTATTTCCTATCAGGACACACATTTACAAATGACTTCAAGAACTAACTTACACATTTCCAAATACAATCCAAATATATCCAGTGTAAAAATAAGTGGACATATTCTTATTAAAAATCTGTGCCCAAGGAGATCACATTTTGTGAAACAGCTGTAGTTTATTAATAATTCACAGTTTCCTATCATTGCTAGAAATGACTGAAAGCTAGGAGTATAAAATTTTTATTGATTCGGTGAGAATTATATAGCCATTTGGCCAGTCCAAGAGTATCAAAAAATATCCCCAGTAACTACTGTGAACAAAAAGTGAACAGGATAATGTAATGTTTTGAAAATATTTTAATATTTGTCATTTTTTGCTGCCTATACTATTAATATGTACACTGATTTAGTAATAAATACATTACCATTACACAGAATGCAGTATTCATCACCGGTTGAAATTAATGCTGCTAATACCTTAAGAAAGAGATAAATAGGTATCATGTCCAAATTCCAAACTAATGCTGAAGAGTTATCACTAACAAAACTAAAATAAACATGTTGGACAGTATCTTTTTAAGCATAATTTTTGTAAACATAGCGAAGATCATTTTTCTTAGTCCTGACATTCTATGTAATGGCTTTAAAGGAAAAAAACATACAAATCTTGTAATTTCTTTTTTTGCATAGGGAATTAATTAGTTTGTATTAATTGTAAAATGAAGCAGTCTTTCAATGAAATGTCTTCACGGCATAGCACTTGTCTATATCAATTTAGAACTTTTGAGCAATAAAAGTGCTCTGCATAAGTTTATAAAATGCTTTGTGGATTTAAAATTCAACAGAAACATTTCAAAAACAAGTATAGGTATGGTTCTAAAATATTATGTACATAATATCTGACTACAGGAGGAAATGCCTCACTGTAGTGCAACACAGTGTACAGATATGAAGCACAGTGTTGAGTAGAATTTCCCTTTCCTGTTCCTCGTATTGGTGCATAAGTGGCTAATGAGTCATTATACAACATGTCCCTTTCTACTTGCTGCATAGAAAGCAGAAGGGGGATGTGAGGACAAATTAAAGTAGATAATGAAAAGAATAGCAAAAATACAGTACATATGCTTTAAATAGTGCACCTTATAAGACAGACTGCAATACTCATACTATTTTATAAAGTGCTGTATTACATAAACCAAGAGACATGTACCTTAATTCCTGCAATAACCTTTAAAACAAACTGCTAGGAAAGAGCAGTGCAAAATTAAAAACAAACATAGCTTAGCATGCAGTTCAGATGGTCCCAAGTGCAGAACACAGGACCTTAAGTTCTTAAATATTTTTTTTACTTTTTAGAAAAAGATTATTAATAATAGCAAGTTATCATTATATATGACCATAAAATAAAAACAATAAGTTAAAATTCTCTTTTAAGAAACAAAGCCACACATAAAATTCATTATAGCATCTGTTTTGAAATCAGACCTTTTTCTCTGGTCACTACCCAAAGGATACAAGTCTCTTAAAAACTGTGTTCACCAGGCAAAGCAGAAGTCATCAAGTCTTCTTGGCAGACATGTGGACATCTGTGACTTATCTAACCCGTCACTAAAATTACAGAAACCTTTGCTGTTTCAAGAAGAATCTTGAGCTGGCATCGTGCTAGTCCGCTAAAAAGTATCATGTGTCCTCTATTCACAGTAATGCTGTCCAGTGCTTTTGGACAAAGATAACCAAACAGGCTTTCCCGAAAAAAAAAAAAAAATTCATTAAGAGGCAGATTCCAATGAGAACAATGGGAGACATCTTTTTAAAGCACAGATCATACCTCAGGCACATGCTGAGGGAACTAAGGTGCAAGGGTCAGCCAAGACGTCCTACCATTCCCACAGTCCTCAGTCTGAGAACTGGAAGAGGGTGTCTGGGTTACTGCTGTCTGTAGGGTTGCCAGGCTGCAGCGTCTTGGTGGGCGTCGTTTTGCCATGGGAATGCGAGGAGGAGGAGCGGGAGCTCTCGCTGGAGCTGCTGCGTGTCTCTGTGCTGGTGCTTGTCCTCTTCATCTTCCTCCTCTTAGCCAAAGGGGCCTTGTCCACATTCTGAAGACAAAACCCTTCTCTCTTGTATTTGTTAAAGGCCTGGGGAGGAAAGTAGCTTTGAGAACACCAGCACTGAAGACTGTCTAGTAGTTCTGACTTTAAGCAGAAGACAGCTTTTCTGGCAACCACAGTTCTAAGTAGCTCTTGGAACAAAGCTGGGAAAACTTTTCATCCAGCCCTCAAGACTGGGACAAAGTTCTCCAGTGCTGGGTGTGGAGCAGGGGCCTCACACATGGCACACAAGTGCCCTAACACCAAGTAACAGTGTGAACTGTACCAGCTGAACTGTCCCAGAGTCATGATTACTTCTCACTGTTGCTTGTTTTCTGTTAATTAAAGTATTTCATTTTATATGGATAGGTGTTTTGCCTGCATGTATGTCTGTGCCCACAGAGGCCAGAAGAGGGCACCGGATCCCCTGGAACTGGAGTTACATGCCACTGTGAGCTGCTGTGAGTGCTGGGAATTGAACCCAGGTCCACTGCAAGAGCAGGCAGTTAATTACTGAGTCACCTCTCTAGCCTGTTTTTATGTTAAGTAGAGACAGGCTCTCAAGTAGGCCAGGCTGACCTCAGACTTGTAGGAAGCCGAGGATGACTTGGAGCTGATTCTTCCTGCCTCTACCTCCCAGGTACTGAGATTATAGGTGGGTGCGAGCACACTCTATCTTGAATTTCCTTAACGTCGGTTAAGAGAAGTGCTACAGTGACACTGATGACCTCACATCACATGCCACTGGGAAGAACTGGATTCCTGAAGCCAATCCCTCCATTCTTTCACACCCCACCTTTATCACCTTTCAAATCCTAGTCTGTATCGTGCTTTCTCCCATCCCCAGATAATCCCTCCAGATTCCTTTATGCCTCTTTCAACTCATGTTTTTTTTTTTTTTTTTTGGTTTGGTTTTTCAAGACAGGGTTTCTCTGTGTAGCTTTGCGCCTCTCCTGGAACTCACCTGGTAGCCCCTTTCAACTCATCTTGCACTAATTATCTGAACTCATTTGCATCTGCTTGGGACAAAGTTACTAATATATAGTCTCAGCCTTTCAAGATTACAATCTATATTTAGCACAACTCATCTACTTCACGTCCTTCCTATATTAAAAGAACACAATTATTAATATATAATAACAATTAAATGTATTAATGAATATTATGTCTTGAAAGCTAGCCAATAAGCACACATGATTAGGAGCCCTTTCTAAATCATCCATGTGCACAGAACAGGGCCTTACATGAAAGGTTGCTTTCACACAGGTGTGTACAGCAGCTCCTGAAGATCCCAGAATGTCTGGAGTCATCAGAGGATTGGAGGACAGCTGACTGCCATCCTGAAGCCATTCATTGTATCTCAAGCCAGACATTTTCAGCCTTTTATTTGGATCAACTGTAAGAAGTCCTGTGGGAATAAGGCATTTTAATTTTATAAGTTTCCACTTCAAACATAGTTCAACAATCATTCTCATATATAAAGGTCAATTATGTTCTTGTGACACGATAGTTTCAACAAGCCTTTACCTCCTACAAATGTATTTTCATATACACCTAAACCTGTTTAAGGATCAACAAGGAGACACAGAGACAAAGACAGCTATTCCAACTTGAGGGGACCAGTGCAGCAGCAATGCACAAGACACGAGCTAAACATAGGATATTTGCTTAGCCTACGAGGTTTCTAGGAAATAAGCCTATATGCTGAGAAGGAGGAGCTAGACTAAAAGGTGCTGCAAGGATTAAAAGGGCCATGTGTGAAACCTGACCCACTGGGGGAATTCAAGAATTCAACAACAGCAGAGATGGGGTGATGTGGAAGCAGAGGCAGGCCAGCCAGGACCTGAAAGGCTAGTTCTGAAGGCCAGGCTGAAGAGTTGGACACAAAGCTAAGAGAGATTCTTCAAAGGATCATCCCACCCTGCCCCAAGAGAAGGATGATGACCTTTGTCCTTCTGTTGGTACAAGATTGGTGGGAAAGTCAGTCACGTGGGGTGGGTTTAAAGGTGTTGTAGGCACTGGCAGAGAAATGATGGCAGTAGCCTGTGGGTAGAAACTCTACTCATAGAGTTGCAGCACTAAGTGGCTGGAAGGCAGGCAGCCAGGGGGAATCCAAGGCTTCTGTTTCTGTGGTCTGGCTTCAGGGTAATGCCATTATTCAAAAGACAAGAGATGGAAGTGGAATGTATTTGAGGGGGGAAGCATGGAAGAAAAGACAAGGTTTTGTTTTGGATCTGTTAGGTTGGGATGCTAGCAGAAGCCATGTGGCAGTTCATGTTGGAAATGGGGATAGGTTAATAAAGGGAAAACTCCAGAAAAGAGAAAACAAGCCACTTGGCTAGATATCAGGAACACTCATGGTTTCTGGAATAATTACCTTAGACTTGTGTACTGGGCATGATTCTACTTAGTCACTACATGTGATACAGAATAACAGATTTCTTAAGTGTCTTACCTTGAATCAAATCTTTAGCCTCTTGGGATACATTCTTCCATGCTTCTCCTTCAAAGGAGAAATCTCCCTTTTTAATTTTCTTCATGATTTCTACTGCACTGGTGCACGTTAAACTTCTGTCATGAGACTGGAATGGTACTTGCCCTGACAACATTGTATACTGCCATGGAAAAGAAAGTAAAACATCAGAATGATTGCAAAAAGAACTGTTAAGTGATGACAATAAGCTAATACTATAAGCTAACTTCATGAGCATAATTTATCCAATACTCCAATAAGCATTACTGGACCTAAAAGACTGACTTCTGTCAACAGAATAACCAACACATTTCAAAGACTTATAAAATGAAGTAGCACGGCTTTTATGATATCAAAATAGAAAACTATTTTTATAACTACAGCAGCTCCCCATCAATGGGGAATGAGATCTCACGATTTTTGCTTAATATACAGCCATCAAATCCTACCAAGAACAACTTTCTGTTTTCAATTGCAAGCAGTTATAGCAAAAACCAAATCTATAACTATATGTGTGTGTGTGTGTGTGTGTGTGTGTGTGTGTGTGTAATTACACACACACACATGAGTCTGTTTCAACAAATGTCTTACATGTATATATACATATGGACAGAGCATACACACAGGGGGATCATAAAAAGCAAATGCAGCAAACATTCACAGTATTCTCTTAAATTCTCTGGTTTAAAACAAAGAGTCAAGATTTGGGAACAAAATACTTGGAGAAAATGTTTTAAATGGACTCATATGATATTTTACAGGCATGCTATAGGTCCTGTCCATTGTTTTGTAAATACTGTGTTGTGGATGGAAGGTTTGATCTCCCCTAAATTTAGATGCTGAATACCCAACACGACTGTTTCTTAGAGAAAAGGCTTTTCTGGAGGCAATGAAGATGAGAGAAGTTAAGCATGAAGGTCCTGATCCAATTAGTACCCTTAAGAGAATGGACATCAGGGAGTTCTGTCTATGTAAGCATGTGCCCTGGAAAGGCTACGTGAGGAGAGAACCAGTAGGGAGCCAGCTGCAACCCAGAGGGAGGGTCCACACCAGACATCAGTCCTAACACACACTGTGCTCTTGCACTCTTCAGCCTCTCAATGAGAAAGGAAGCTTCTGTTGTTTACCCAGTCTGCAGCCTTGTGAGACAGCAGCACAAGCAGGCTGATACGCTGTGCAAGTTCTACTTTAATTAAGGTCCTGTGCGTTTCAAACAATGACTGTACATTCTTGGTGTATACGAGATTATAATTAAACCACATAGGAGGCTTTCCTTGAAGTAATTTATTTGATGCAATAAAGGTAATATAATTTATTTTCATTTTAAAACATTTTGATTTATTAAATGCAAGATGAAAGAGGGGCATCTAATTCCAAGGGAAACCATAATTCCAAATAAATTTGGTGCTTGGTATGCTTACTGCGGGTAAGTTAGGAGCTAGGTGTCTGAGACACAATCATTTATATGAGAAAAATTAGAAAAACTTTCGAATCCTTCAATGCAGCTGCTGATTTTGTTCACTTTCTTCTGTAACTGTTTTCTCCTGCATCTACAAGAGGCAAGATTTTAACAAACCACAATCTGACACTGTTTCTCACTCCTAAAAATTAGCAGTCATTCTTTGTAGTAGTCAGTATCTAATGAATGGCCATATTTTCCTGATTATATTATATACACGAGGATATACTGTAATTATAGCTATATCAATTATATTTATAATACTAATTTAACAAACAATTTAAATTAAATTGTTTTTCTGGAATCAGGATTCAAGTAATACACAAATACTGTTCCTTAAGGATCTCCAATGCACGGGTTTGCACTTTACCTTTTTTGTTTGCTGGGCTACAGCATTTTACACTGTAGCCCAGGCTGGCCTGGAACTTGAAAGTCCTGCTACCTCAGCCTCCTGAGTGCTGGAATTCTGGGCATGAGCTACCAAGCCTGGCCTCATGACATTTTTTTTTCTTATAAATTGTCTACTGAAAAAAATTGTTAGTCTGTCCAACAGCAGTGCCCACAGTCTGGACACTGTGACCATGCTCTATGACACTATTAACTTGATTTTTACTCTGTTTTCTTAAACATTTGACCATTAGATCTAACAGGCAGGGGGCTTCAACCTTGTCTTTCCAGAAGGGAAATATATACGAAACAATACGGAGCTTGACTACATTGCTTTGCATGTCTGAGACTCTGAAAACCTTAAAAGAGCTTGATGGTCACAATCGGCCTAAATTTAAAGTACTATCTCTTTTATAATGAAAAAGAAAATATGAAAAATGAAGGGCTCTTTTTATTTACATTTTTTAGGATATTGCTACTAATGAAAATGTCATCAATTTAAGTCCTTAAAAGTCTCCAACCTACAAAAGTTGTTTACTTTTATTAAAAGTTCTTATCCCTAAATATGTAAGTTTAGTTTGAAGTGATAAATGACAAATTGCTCAGATGAAAGCCATATAAGGCTTCAAAATAAAGAGCCTTCGTGCAGGGACAAGTGGCTAGCCACTGGGGGAAGACAAACTGACACCAAAATAAACCCCAGATGGAGGACAGATTGAAGTACAAAAATAAGACAGAGGGATTCTAGAGGAAGTTTAGAGAGTATTTTTGTAATCCTGAGTGAGGGCAGGGGTAGTGGCATCCAACATCAAAGCCACACACCATGAAGAAAAGACTGACATATATTACCACATGGAAATGAAAAAACAAAACACTTTCTATTTAAACTTCTCTAAAAATATAATCAAAGTCCTATTTACTATGAACAAAAGATAAGCCAGACAAATATTTCCAATTATTGATGGCAGACAAAGGTTAAAAATCCTTATTAGAGTTTTCGCCGGGCGGTGGTGGCGCATGCCTTTAATCCCAGCACTTGGGAGGCAGAGCCAGGCAGATCTCTGTGAGTTCAAGGCCAGCATGGGCTACCAAGTGAGTTCCAGGAAAGGCGCAAAGCTACACAGAGAAACCCTGCATCAAAAAACCAAAAAAAAAAAAAAAAAAAAAAAAAAAAATCCTTATCAGAGTTTTAATTCTCAGTAACAAAAAGCTGTCTGGCAGAAAACAGGCAAACTCATACATGGTGATTCATGACATAAACCATGAATGTCCACCTGTATGAAAAGGTGCTCAGACTGGTACTCATCAAATAAAAGCCTGAAGGCGAAAATTGATGGCATCCAATGTGCTCATATGCAACTGATGATGAGTACTGAGCCTGGTAAACCTGACAGATGAAAATCTAGGCAACTATGTTAAAATAAAAATATGTTATACCCTCCTGGGAAATCTAAGGAAACTGTGATGCAAGTACAATTGTATATATGAAAAAGATTCATTCTTACAGCTTATAATTAGTGAAAAAAAGGAGGAAATACTAATTGCTCATTGCCAAAGAAATTGTTCAATAAATTTTGGAGCCTCAAGCTACAGATATAATATAACCCATTGGTTTAAAAAAGTAAACAGCCAGCCTACATACATATCCATGTGTAGACAAAGGCAGATTTAAAAACCCACACCAATGCAGCGAGGGAAGGGGAGAGAGAGAGACGCTCCCACAGCATCATCTTTGACTGGTGAGATGTGATTTTCAGTTATATCTTTCTGCAGTGTCTGGAAGTTCTTCCCTACCATGCTCATATAAAGACCAAGTGAAGCTATTTTGAGGTGAACATATGTGGAGGTTTCTCTAGTGTCTCATCATGCACATTTTGTGAAGAGCATGCTCCCCATATTACTGTAGGGTATTATAAATATTTCTAGTTTTATCTATTAGATTTGTCAACTTATCCTAAACAATTTTGTTTACTTACATTTTTAGTATGAAACTTCAGAGAATATGTGTTTTTATGAGGAAGCACTATTTTCACGTTATATCTAACATAGTATATGTCTTATGTAAACACAATACTTCCTTCTTTTAAAACAACAATGTATACTTTATATGAACCACAGCAACTTAAATCTTCCAAAAATAACTAAATTCTACATTGTATCTACTACAGGCTTTAAGAAATAGAAATATACATTAGTGAGGCCTCTACTGGTTATACAGAAAACAAGCCAGCACATTCAGCTTTCTCATGAACTTTTTTTCTAAACAGCGGTGAGAGCTAAGGCCTCCAAAGAGCTGACCAGTAGGACAAACTCACCAAGATGACACCCAAACTCCACAGGTCGCAGGACTCATCATAGCCATTGTGCGTCAAGAGCTCTGGTGCTGCATAGTGAAGGGTAAAGCATGGGGTCTTGAGGGGCTGATTGTCAGGTGGCTTGAGGCGTGCAAACCCAAAGTCAATTACTTTAATTTCCAAATTGTCGTTTTCATCAGTGAACAATAAATTCTGTAAGATGCCAATACTTTGCTTAGATTCTCATTGAAATGGCAGATGTACCAACCTATCAATGGAGCATTGTTCATGTATTCTGATATCTGACTCAAGCACACAGTCTCCTAGGACGATCTGGGACCTGGGTGTCATACCACTGACCTCTTCTTTATACTGTTTTGTATCACTTCAGTTTCTACAGTGTCATGTCAAACACTTTTCAACTACACCACTGTTGCGGGATATCTGATCATACTGTGAACCCCAAGACTGTGTTAATAAAATCAACCTTGAATGGGGGGGAGGCAGAGCCAGGAACTGGTTGACAAGAATTAGCCATAGAGAGTACAGAGAAGCCAAGAGGACACACGGAGAGATGCACAGGAAGGAGTAGGGAGGGACTTGGAGTTTCATGGTCTTTTTTTTGGTTTAGGATGGCTGGAGAGAAGCTCTCTTGCTGGGTCTCTGGCCAAAAAGGAGGGTCAGCTGGTTGCTTCTAGGGCCTCTTGAGCTAGCAGGTTTTCACTCCTACATCTGACTCCCAGGTCTTTGTGGTAAACAGAACGGCAGACTTGATTAAAAACTCCATTAAGGAGGAGTAGTATTGGCAGGACCCTAAGTCCCGGCAGGCGGCAGGCGGCATGGCGTTGCGGGTTGGGGGACTGTGGAAGGTAGTTGAAATATCCGTAGATTTAGGTGCAGCCACTAGGCTGACTGGAAATCAGCACACCATGCTTCTTCTCAATTCAGACCCTCTGTCTCCATTTTCCCTCTGAGCTAGTCTTCCACTTCCTCCAGCACCCCATGTTCCACTGTAGCTCTCGTACACTTACTCCTCATTTACAGATGCTGACCTAACCACCCTACCAAACTGAAGTTCCAGTTTCCCCTATTTTCTCCCACCATGGTTTACTTTTCCTTTAGGGCACTTATCATCTCTATATTTTTAGTTAAACGTTCTGGTCCCTCTCAGACCATAATTATGTAAGGGTAAAGACTCTGTCCACTTCATTAATTAATGATGCTGTCCCTGGGGCCTGGCATAGGTACACACAAGTATAACTCATTTTATTAGGTCTTTTTAAAACAGTCTGTGGGGTTGTGGTAGCCCTATGCTGAGGAAAACTTTCAACACCATTTCCCAACAGGCTGTACTTACTGTGTCTGTCAGATTTGGGTACTTTTCACAATATGCTTTTCATTACTATCACATTTACGTGGTGATCTGTGACCAGTAATCTTCAATACTTAAAGATTAGATTTATTTATTTTGTTTTATGTATATGAATGTTTTGCTTTCATGAATGTCTGTGCCTGATGCCTTCAGAAGCTAGAAGAAGGGGTTGGCTCCTCTGAAATTGTAGTTACAGAAGGCTGTGAGCCACCATGTGTGTGCTGGAAAATAAATCCGGGTCCTCTAGAAGAGCAACAAGTGCTCTTAACCACTGGGCCATCTCTACAGTCCCAATGACTAGTAATCTTTGCTATTACTATTACTATTGCCATTGCTTTGGGGACCATGAATTGCATGCATGATGGTGAATTTAACCAATAAACGTATGTGTTGACACTGTCACTGGACAGATGTCTCCTATCTCTCTCCTTTCCTTAGGCCGATCTACTCTCTGAGACACAATATTGAAATTAGGCCAATCACTAGCCCTATAAAGTGTCAGCTAACAGAGGCCAAAGGCAAGGCTTCTTATGCCTCTACTGTCTGTCTTTTCTACCTGCCTTCCTCAATGAACTTTATCATTTCTTTTAAAGTGAGGGATACGTGACTCTTCCTTTCATCTGGCCATTTTTCTCTGATCTGTCAGAAGAATTATGATTTATAATAGCTATAACTTTAAGTGTATGTCTTAAATAGGAAGACTTGAATGCTAAGTAATTATTTGGTATAAGGGGCAGCCAAATGGGTATTGTGTTAGCACACATTCATTTGACAAACCTCTTCAGCAGAGCTCCTAGGTGACCCATTACACTGCTAATGAACATTAGTATTTTGAAATGGGTCTTTTTCTGAGCAGTTGGTCTTAATAGTAAACCTAAAAATGCTCAGCAAACCATGTCATAAGTACAAAGTGCTGTCATCCAGGCTCTGTTGGTCCACTTCAGCACCCAGGTAGAGTATATTTACTTCTATAAACCTTAGGAGCCAACTCTGCTAACTAACTTGAAACTTTTCTTCTACATCTGTCTCACCTCTCTCAGTCTTTACAGAATTTATGAGTTAAGGCCTTGCTTCTGGGTTAGCTAAGGGAATGCTGTGGTGGGTTTGATCTATCCAGATTTTCTCTGTGTGAACAAGAAGGTCTTTTTGCTTTTTATCATTTGTGTATTCACTGGAGTTATACTAATTTCCTTCAATAATTTTGACTTTGTTTAATAATTCTGATGATTTTGTTTTTAGACAGTGTTATGCTTGTATAGTGGTTAAAGGATTCCAGTTCTGGAAAATCATTTACTTTCTTAGTCCTCTAGATGAAATAAAGAACCTTTCATAATGCTTCAATGGTAAAAAGAAGATGGTTAGGCAGGTTGAAAACCACTGCCTAAACAAGGCCTGCAGAGATTCCAGCAGTCGATCCTCCAGTGTAGATGAGGGGCTCTCACAAAGACCTAGTCTTAGATGAGGCCTACAGCAATCAATGGCTGCTGGGGAAGGGGAGACCAGTCTTCTCCAGAACCAGCCCTGAAAGACTTTTCAATCTCAATCAAAGAGGGAGTGAGGGGGACAGGGCAGTTGGAGTGGGGAGGTGAGTGGAGATGATGTCAATACAGTACTCACTTCTGAAATTCTAAAAAGAAGCTCTTACAGATCATGTAGAAAAAGAGACAATGAAGAGAGGAAAAGCAAAGAAATAAAAAAATTGGAACAGTTTTCTTAAATTTTCTACCATACAATGCCCAGCCCTTAACTTTTGACAACTGAAGTTATAGCTCATAGGTGTTTTCTTGGGAAATATCTGTTCTTCGGCAATCATACCTAAGGTTCTCTGCAGGGCCAGGCATGTGCTGCACTGCTTACGAGAAGCACATTTGGTTTCATCTCCACAGGGCCTGCCAAGACTCTGGAAATGACAAGTTTATTCCGCTGAGGCTAGTGAAGGACTTCTCTAGTCTAAAGTCTTGGAGGACAAGAGGGGCAGGGCGTTCACTTTTAGCTGATGACTTCAATCCATTCATCGTATTTTAGAACATGTCAACTTAGAGCACACTGCTCACTTCCTACCTCTGGCCCCAAGGCAGGAAGTGCAGTGTCGGGACAGTTCTTTATGGGGTGTGCACATGGTTAGGAACGGTAGGGAGTAACCGTTGATCTACTTCTATCCTCATTTCAATTTCTGCCTGAAAACACTATCATATAGAGAACTTTACTTAATCTTTTAAGAGGATCAATATGAAGATTACAAAGCAGCCTAAGAATGTCAGCCAGCTTCTAAATTTGTCTGATTCTCACCTAGAACTTAGGAGATATGTCTATGCAGAAAAGGAATGTCATTTAACCATCTACCAAAAATAGTCAGACCTAAAATGTTGCATAGGAAAAGGATTAAACTTTTAGTTTGGAAATAATATACTCTGCCATTTAAAAGTCAAAGTGAGAGCTATGGTTAGGAAAATGTTAGTTCAAAAGTACATTTTCACTTTTCTAAAACCTAGTGTAAGAATAAAATGGTGGTGGAACATGCTGTATAATCCAACAGTTTTGCTTCATTTCAAGCTACAGAAGTATCTTTTTTATCAGGAAAGTAGGCAGACAAATTTAAATTCTGCTGCAGAGGACATGTGCCTCATTTGAGACTCATGAGATGACAGATGGCCAGTTATCAAAGAATAAAACATGTGAAAATGAGTTCTATACAGTCATGGAACAGATCTTTTCCATTAAAAAACTACATGCTTGTTCCTTGTCTATCAAGCAAACATTTAAGTGGTGTGCTTTCACATTTAAAAATAGACAGCTAATCTCCGAGGCACAGAGCACCATGTTTTCAGTGGGTGTTACGTAGGAGAGTGAGAACTATGATGAAGGAAGCAGAGGGGGAGCTATCATAGTTGCAAGTTCAGAAGACACAAGTCACTTTTGATTAATTACTAGCAATGTGAATAACAGTAATAGAAAGTACAGAAATTTAACACATTTAAAAGAATAAATCAATTGTAATCATCCTTCTGTATCCCTGAGAACCACAACTGTGGATTCAACCAACTATGGATTAAAAACTTAAAAAACAAATATACAAGCAAACAAAAAAACCCAAACCTGCAAAGTAATTGTTTAGAAAATATAAAGACTTCTTTTTCTTGTAATTATTCCCTAAAATATATAGTATAATAACTATTTGTATAGCATTTATATCAAATTATATATTATAAGTAATCTAAAGAGAAGATTTAAAGTATAGAAAAGGATACATGTAGGTTATGTAAAATAATATACAATTTTATGTAAGATACTTGAGCATTCTTGGACTTTTATATCTGAAGGAAGACCAGGGACCAATCATCCACAGATACAGAGGGATAACTGTGAAACTTGAATGCACATATTTCCATTTTTAAAACATCTTTTAATAATTTAAATACAAGACAAAATTGCTTTTACAGAAATATTCTTTTACAGCTTAATAAAAAAGAAATATCAAACTCTTTAATATTTTAAATAGACTTGAAAATATAAACACATGGGAACTAAAAAATGTTCTATTTTAGATCAGAAATATGTATAATTTCTCATATGGTAAAAGATGATTAATTGTTTTTTTAAGTCATTGGGTTTTGTTTTTCAAGTTTTATTATTACTTGTTTTTAAAAAGGGAGGAATTTTCTTTTCTTTCTTTTTTTTTTAATACCAAAAAGGGATCATTCTGAGTTAAAACCTTCTTCACTAACCTTCTGAAAGAAACATAAAAAGCTGTTGCTCTGCATTGCTCTTCATGTCTATAAATACCACAGTGCATGAGCATATAGAAGCACATATAGAGAGGATGGCCTTATTAATTCTTCACGTGTAACTATGCAGAACAGAATTACGTACATTACTGCTTAGGAGCTATCAATTTGATCTAAAAATATGAAAAATGAGGTTTCAAAATACATCATCAAACGAACAAACTCCCCAAGATGGAATACATATAGAAGAGCTATTATTATTTGCTACGAAAATTTCTACTGCTATTTTTAGTATACAACTGTTGCATGAAGTATTTTTCCCATAAAAGGCTCTCACACTTACAAATATAACCTCAAGATGATCAGCTGACAAGAGGGAAAAAAAAGAGGACAAATTTATTTTAGACTGACACAGAAAAGAGAAGAGAAAGGGAAAAACCAGTTAAGAAACATCTTCCAGTGTTTACTTACTGGCTCTAGAGAAAGAGCCCTCCCAGAGCCTGACAACTACCTGAGGGCAGCTAACAGTGACAGCAGGTGGAGCCGGAGGAGATGGCACTGTCATACCTCAGGTTTCAGGTCTCTGTGCACCACTCCAACATCATGCATGTGGCTCACAGCTGAGACCAGCTTGCGCATGATGTAGCTGGCCTCGGTCTCACTGAAGTGCTTCTTCTTCTTGATGCGCTCGAACAGCTCTCCCCCATTCAGAAGTTCCATCACGAGGAATGTATGAAGCTAGAAAGAAGAAAAAGAATAATATGGGGCCTCACTGAAAAGGTGCAGACACGTGTTCCTCTATAGATTATTTATTGATCAGTAAATTCAAACAATCCCTTGCTTAAAACAGCCAATAACAATCCCTGCACTTAGAACAAAGAGCTAAAGGATAATGTAGCTTTTTAGAATTATATTTTGGCAATGAAAAAGTGTCAAGTATTTCAGCAAAATCTTCACAATTTTTCCCTTTAATTCATTTCCTTTCATTTGAACTCTGTTCTAATCTTCTCTCGAGTTTTTATATTTTCATTGTAAAAATGTGAACCGACCCTGACAATAATCTGATAATCAATAATGGTAAATGATCCAGAGGATTACCAGCTAGTGTTACATGCAACTGCTGACGCTCGTCTAACTGAAAGTTTACTTTGTTTGATAATTTTAGGGCTCAATGATTAATTACAGAATTACTGTAGATATTCACTGCAAATATCCGTAACTCACTGTGTATGTTTCTTTTAAAACAATTGCTTTTGACTCTATTGGCATTATCTTGATTCAATACTTTGTTACATATTTACTATGTTTTGCATTATCCCTATGAAGAAAATAGCACAGGAGCTATCGAAAATGCACTTCAGGATGTAATGTTACCTTTATAAACTCTAGAACCTTTCCTTAACTATAAAATACAGGTAATAAGAAAAGCTCCAGGTAGTACTTTGAATAATGGCCCTCCAGAGAGCCATGTCCTAATCTCCAAATTTGTGTGTGTTTTTTTTAAAGATTTATTTATTTATTACGTATACAGAGGAGGGTGCCAGATCTGATTATAGATGGTTGTGAGCCACCATGTGGTTGCTGGGAATTGAACTCAGGACCTCTGGAAGAGCAGCCAGTGCTCTAAACCTCTGAGCCATCTCTCCATCCCATTCTGTTTTTTTTTTTAATCTTGGAGGGCAAAAGGAACTTTGTAGTCATAATTAAGATTCTTCTGCTGGGCGATGGTGGCACACGCCTTTAATCCCAGCACTCTGGAGGCAGAGGCAGGAGGATCTCTGTGAGTTCGAGGCCAGCCTAGTCTATAGAGTTGAGTTCCAGGAAAGGTGCAAAGCTACACAGAGAAACCCTGTCTCGAAAAACCAAAAAAAAAAAAAAAAAAAAAAATTCGTCATTGCTGTTGTTTTATGTTTCTGAGACAGAGTCTCACCATGTATACCATGGCAGGCCTTGAATCTTTTTTTTTTCTGGAGCTGATGACCGAACCCAGGGCCTTGCGCTTACTAGGCAAGCGCTCTACCACTGAGCTAAATCCCCAGCCCCAGGCCTTGAATCTTAAGAGATCTGCCTGTCTCTGTTTCTGAGTGCTGGGATTGTGTGCCACCCGGCCCAGTCCATGATTAAGATTTTTTTTTCTAAGTATGTATGTACGCAGGTAGATAGGTATATGAGCGTTTTGTCTGCATATGTGTTTGCACACCAGAAGAGGGCACTGGATGTCATGGAACTACATGGGTTCTGAGAATTAAACCCAGGGCCTCTGGAAGAACAGCCAGTGCTCTTAGCCACTGGGCCATCTCTCCAGCCCCTATGATTAAGATTCTTGAGATAGGATGATTACCCTGAATTATTCACCAGCATCTAAGGTATGAGATTAATCTATGGAAGCAAGAGATTGGAGTACTGCACAGATGGGCAATAAGCCAAAGCAAATAAGTGGCCTCCAGAAGGAAACCACTAAGACTAATTTTGGACTTGTTATCTCCATTCATTGTTTAAATAGTGAACATATTAAGTTTGTGATAATCTGTTATAGCAGCAATTGGGAACAAATAGAGGATGTGAAACAGATCATGGCACACAAAATGAGCTGCATTACTGTACAGCCAAAGGCTGAAGACCCACCTTTCAACATCACTACTAGTTGAAAATAGGACTGTATAAATATGAGGATCAATTGTGTCATTATCATGGGAAAAACTAAACACATATTTCAACAAGTGCATAGCAGAATTATTATTATATTTATACTACTACATGTAGCACTGTATCATAAGAAAAGTTCTACTCTAGTGACTCTTGAATTTTTTAAAATTGCCAAAAATCAACTTGTAACATAAATTTAAAAACTAGGGATGTAATTCTTGAGCTAAGACATTAGTCAGAAGATCCAACAGCCAATGTTTGGGCTGAGATACAGTGAGGGTCACAGATGCAAACTACAGGTTGAGGTGTCTGAGGTCATCCATCACTTTCTTGATTGAGGTTAATTTTCTCTGTATTTGCATCAACAGGACACTATTTTTTACTGTGTGTTTCAAACAGATAGGGGATTCACTGTTCCCATGAGAATCTGAGCAGTGGAAGGGCACGGAGAGCATTCTCAGAGTTCAAAAGCATCCCTTCTCATAAGAACAAGAGGAGGGAGAAGACACCCATTTTAGATGTTTATTACTTCACATAAAAAAGCTGGGTTTTTTTGCCTCCTCTAAGATAGCAGAGCAAAGTAATTAAGAGTTTGTTGAGTTCTGAAGTTGAATGGGTGGAGCTCAGATACCAGTCTCACCATCAACAAACTGTGAAACTCTGTTACTGACCTCCTGAGTTTTGTTTTCTGAGTTCACTATGTTAAGGCAAGGACAAAGATGATGCATGGAGAGTTTATGGTACAGTGGCTGGACCACATACTGCATAACTGGCAGTAAACATTGTATTTATGATGTATTGCTGCTGCCACCTGATATTACCATGATGAGTCACTCTTAGCTACGGTACTCAGAAAAAAGCCCCAGCTATTCTAGTCAAGAATGTCATAGCAACACAATGGTAAGTGCCTGGAACAGGTTCTCTCTACTAGATTTTTCACTGATTATGATCCTGGTACAAGTCTCATGACCTCTAAGAATCTCATCCTTTGTTGTTAAAATTAGAGCAAAACATACTGAAGACTAGTTTTAGCGTTTGTGCCTTAATGCTGTCCTGAGAAGGCTGTGACATCTGTTCCATGTCAGAGAAAAGAATACTGGAATGAAGCAATTTCAGGCATGGGAGGTGACAATACTCCTCCCATGTCCAAGTGACAGGCTTCCATGTGTGACTTCCGTTGGAAAGCAGAACTAAAGGTAGAAGACATCAGAGAAGGACCTGTCCTGGAGGCTGAGCAGGTGTTACCACCTGGAACAAGATGCAAGGGAGCATCTTTGTCCTTCTGCTTCCCATTTGTCCTTTAGCCTGCAACAACTGGGCTTACGAGTCTGTTTGATGCAAGGCGTGAGAAGAATGCTGAAGGCTTAAAATCCCCAAGTGTTGAATATGCACTGATCAAGTGATGGGAGGGTGGAACTGCACTCACAATAAGCACACTGCAATCTGTGACCGACCACAGTGGCACAGTGAGCTCTTCTTACCATTCTGGCATCCACCATGTCAATACAGCAACGATGGGTAGAGCAAAGGGAGTGTGAAAGGATGAACTGAGGCAGAAGGGAGGAGTGTGTTGGTTTCTCTTCCCTTCCTAGTGGTGACTGGATGAAATGATATGTCCCTGATTCTCACCAACAGCACCAATAAAACTGGTGAGAAGTTGAACCCTATACATGAACTAGGAGTAACATTGAACACTGAACTACATGTACATGGATTTATGGAGCCTGTGAAATACCTGATCATGAAAAACTTCATGAAGCTTCACGATATTGGGGTGTCCTTCACAGAGTTTTAGAGCTGTTATTTCTTTCTGAGTATTGGCTTCCATCCTGCAAAACCAAATAGTTAACATCTACCTGTCTCTTCCAGCGGATTTTTACACCAGTATCCCATCCCTAATTGGTTTTATTTACAGTGCATATAGACTACCTTTGTCAAAGTATCAAAATGAGATTTCCACAAAAGTAATTAATCACACCACTCACCAGGAAAGCCAAACTTTTTTTTTTTTTAAAGAAAAATTTCCCGCTGAGTCAGAAAAGAACTAGTCTTACAAAGAAACGGCTGCTCCTCTTGCCTGTTAATTTGGTAACATTATGCAATCATGAAGGTAATAACCCATTACCAGAACAACTAGCTGGCTTGCTCTCTGTTCTCAAAGCTACCAGGAGGCTAAATAATTTTGGAGAAAAGTATTTCAAACTTTCAACTAATCTGTAAATCTGATTAAATATATCAACACCACAAGAAAGTTTTGCCATGAAAACATAACAGATTATGATTAATATCCACAAATGATTACTTTATCAGAAAATCCTAATGCTAGATGTATCAGGGACTAGCTAATAAGGTAAATGGTTAAGCCTGTGTGTAAAAGGCCTTACAATGTACAGCTGATTTCCTTCTCAATAATCTTAACTTACAGAACTCACTGAGTGGTATATATACCTAAGAACCACTAGGACTGACCATACCTTTTGCTGATTATTTTGACGGCAAATGCTTGGTTACTTTTTTTGTGAACACACTTTCGACAAATCGAAAAACTTCCTTCTCCCAAAGGTTTGTCTTTCAGATCTAGGTCATAGTGTTGATAGAATGGTGAGTCCTAATAAGAAATCAACACCATTTAATTTAATAAAAGACTAGTAGTAATACACAAGGGATATGTGAAGCTATAAATTAGCATGAAATTATTAACAAATTTGAATGTAATATATTTAATCATTAAAATTAATTTAATATATTTATATAGTCATGTATGTATTTGTTCAAGATACACTGTCCTCTATCACTGTAAAAAGAAGCTCATACAAGTTGATGTTAACAATCCTTTAGGGAAAACACTGCTATTTCCACTTACTCATTTTCTAAAACTGCCCTTTAGTTGATGATAATCTATTAAATTTACTGGACTTAAGAACATCAATTAGGATTTAAACACTCACACAAGCCACAGATACATCACTGAGGCAACCACACTTATATACCTTCATCATTGCACTCCTGGCAACATTTGTTACTCCAGGGCGTTCAACTCCCATATGGAACTGAAGAGGATCTATGACAGCCGCATTACGCTTGAAAAGGATAGAAGGAGCAACAAAGGAATAGCCCTAAAAAGAGAAAGGGTGGTAAAGAACGAAGATTTGTAGTTTCCCAGTTAGGCATGGTCTAGATTGTGATGATTTCTTCTCATAGCAAAAAATGGTCAGATGAAGATAATTTTACTTTCATTCAAAATACAGCATTAACTCAACAGAAAATGCTTTTCAGAAGGAGATAATGCCATCTTCTGGTGGAACTAAATCAATTCAAAACTAAAGGCAGAAAGACTTCCTCTCTAGTCTACCCCCAAATCTGATGCAAGCCTGTCATTTTTTTGCACTGATAATAATACTGGTTTATAAACTCAACTAATCTCAAAAAAGATACAGTCAATACACCAAATAAAGTGACCCAAGAACTGTTTCAAACTAGAAAAACAAGTTTCATTAAGGTTTATCTTTAATTTAGCAATTATTGGACTTGCATTCTGTGTTTTTAGAATAACTAAACTTAAAATTGAGTTTCTGAAAAATAGTAAGCCCAATGGGAGAATGGTATGATAAGTCAGTGATAAATGATGCCTGATTCCTCTGTACAAGGACACTTACTAGTTTACCAACAAACATCTACACATTGTTGACCATGTACTCCAGTGACATAGGATAAGCAAGAGGCACACTCTAGATGGCCAGATGAAACCACACTATAGACGCTTAGAGGGGCCAGAGAAGTACAGCTGTGACTGAGTTCAACAGGCGACTATCCGATCTGATAAAGAACCTTTCCTAAGGAAAATTCTTTATTTTTAACTTTGTAAAGATACAAAACAATGTGTTTTATTATACAATTTTCACAGACACATATTGCTGTGATAAAATACTCTGACAAAAATAAATACATACATACATACATACATACATACATACATACATAAATACTCACTCATGGGGGTGAAGAGATGGCTCAGTAATTAAAGTGCATACTACTTTTTCAGAGGACCTGAGTTCACTTCCCAGCACCCATGTCAGGCAGCTCACAACTTGTAACTTCAACTCCAGGGGATCCAACAATTTCCTAAGGCTTCTGCGGGCACTTGCACCCATGCGCGCACGCGCGTGCAAACACACACACCCCTAAAAGTAAATCTCTAAACAATACTCTTGCAAAAACAACTTGAGGAGAAATGGCTTATTTTAGCTCACAGTTTCAGGTTGCAGTCTATCATTGCAGGGAAGGCACAGAGACAAGAGCTACAGACAACTGGCCACATTGTACTCAGAGTCAAGAAGCAGAGAACAAAGCATGCTTGTGCTCAGCATCCTTTCTCCTTTTCGTTCTCAACAGGACCCACCCCTGGTCTACCCAAATTCAGAGTCTGTCTTCCCACTTTCCCAATTAAGAAATCTCTACCAGGTGGTGGCGGCACACACCTTTAATCCCAGCACTTGGGAGGCAAGAGACAAGTGGATCTCTATGAATTTGAGGCCAACCTGGTTTACAGAGTTCTAGGACAGCCAAGTCTACACAGAGAAACTCTGTCTTGAAAAACTAAAAATTAAATAAATAAATAAAAATTTTAAAAAAAGAAAGAAAATCTCTCATAGGCATGCTCAGACACCAACTTACTCTAGACAATCCCTTGTTTAGACTCCTCAGTGGAGTCCAGATTTTGTCAAGTTGACAATGAACACTGTCACCGCTGTCACCGTGCATTGCTCACATCTGCTCCCTCCTTAGCCTTCCTCACCTTTCCCTGTTGCGCTATACAAATAATCCTCCTACAAACCCAATCTTTAAGAATACTGTTTATTTGTTTATTTGAGACAGGGTTCCACTTAGCCTAGGGTGGCCTTCAATTTACTGTTTGAGCTTTTGAAACTCTGGAATGCTGGGATTATAGGTGTGCCACTATACCCAGTTTTGTGCAGAGCTAAAGATGAAACCCAGAGCTTCCTGCAGGCTAGACGAGATGACAGACTGTCATTCTAAGACTTTAAAAATTAGAGATCATTCATGATTTATTATTCACTGAAGACAAAGGTCCAGATAACACTGAATATTTTATAAGAATAGCGTAAAAAATAAAATATCATTGTAACTTCCAGATGAGCCTCAACAAAAATGAATGCTCAAGTATAAAATAAATATTTACTCATAAAAAACAAACACAGGCTGGGTTTTTTGGTGTAAAGTTTGATGGCAGCAATGGGGAAGCAGAAGCAGGTGGACCCCTGTAAGCTCAAGACTAGCCTAGTCTATACAGCAATCTGCAGAACAGCCTGGACTACATAGTGAGACTCTGTCTCAAAAGAACAAATAAAAGATCCCATTATACAAACAAACAAAAACAACCCCCCAGGAAAAACAAAAACAAAACAAAACAAACACATAAAAACTAATAAATCTGCTATGTAGCAAACTGTAAGCTTCAGGGTAGAACCTCAACATATGTCTGCATTTAATTTTGAAGAGATTACAGAATCCTGATTTTAAGATGCCAACAAAACCTCTTTACTAGAGAACACTGACTTTTTTCTGAAGCACATCTAGTACACTGGAACATTACCTGAAAGAGCCTCTCAGAGCTCTGGGGCAGCGCTGCAGGAGAATAGGTAGGGTCCATTTCTGTGAACTCTTCAGCAAAGTTACTCACATCTAACTCATCCCGGATCACTGGTTTAAATGGTGCAGGCACTTTTTTGGCAGCTAAGTCATCCCAATTTATTTTCTAAAGCAGAGAAAGAAGATTGGGATAGAACAGAAATCAAAAAAGTCAAAATACATTATGAACAACAAGCATAATGAAGTTTTCTTTTCTTTTCTTTCTTTTTTTTTTTTTTTTTTTTTAAAGACAGGGACTCTAGCTCTGGCAGGCCTGGGGCTTTCTATGTCAGTGGTTGTCAACCTTCCTACTGCTGTGACCCTTTAATACTGTTCCTCATGTTGTGTTGAGCCCCAATTATAGAATTATTTTCACTGCTGCTTCATAACTGTAATTTTGCTATTGTTACAAATTGTAATATAAATATCTGTGTTTTCTGATAGTCTTAGGTGACCCAGGTCAAAGGTTTGGGGGTCAAGTGACCCACATGTTGAGAACTGTTACTCTATGTAACATATGCTGGCCTTGAACTCAGAGATGTTTGCCTCTGTCTCCCAAGTGCTGGGATTAAAAGTGTGTGCCACCACACCTGGATGAGACTTTAGTTACTAGTAAGTGGGATTAAAAGTAAGAGTGCATACTTCAAACTGAGGATTGAAAATATAATTTTTCCAAGCAGAATCCCATTTTCAGACTATAGCATCTGGAAGGGGCCTGCTGCTTCCCCACCTCAGGAATCTCAGTGTCCTCTAGGGGGCACCAAGACACTCTGGTTCACCCTGGATCACCCTCAGAGATAACAGAAGAAAAATTACTTTTGTCCTGAGCTTTGGAAGAAAAGAAATAAACCAAAATGAAAACAAACAAACAAACCAATGAGTCCCTCAAGCCATAAAATACTGCTATAAAGGGCTTCAACACACTCTGTAAATGTGAACTAACTCCTGTTTTCTAGGGGGTTCACTAAGCTCTACCCTTCCACTGGTTTTCCTTTGGGTTACCTGAACAGATTATGAAGTAAAAGTACCGAGAGCCAAGTGTTTGCTTATACTTGAGGTTTAAATAACACTGTCATAGTAGGTCTTTTCTCATTCAACCCCAATCAATATTTAGATACTGCCTCTTGTCTTCCCCCCATACACACTGTCTGAGTAACTGACATGTTTTGTATTATTCAAGTTCAACCCTCTGTTTATTTATGCTCCTTCTGTCAAAATATCCTTAGCTAGTACTCACTGAATCAAATCTTAAAGATTAGAATAGTATCCACTTTCTAGTTAGTGTTCATTCCTCTGTATGGCTTTAAAGACTTCTATTATAGGCATATGGCTTGTGCTTCACTTACTGAACAAACATTAAGGGAAATTCTAGGACAGGTGAAATGGCTCAGTAAAGTAAGGGTGTTTGTTGCCAAACATGACTTTGGTCCTCAGGGTCCACAATGTTGAAAAGAACTGACTCCCAGGAGCTGTCTTTTGGTGTGTGTACACACACACACACACACACACTAAAATTTTTAAAAGAATCTTTACAAATGACAAACTTCTAGAATAAAGGGGTAATTTAAAGAAACATATTGCTACCAGAAGAATGTTCAATATGTAAAAAATTGAATGCTATTATGATACTTCTCACTTCTACACCATTACAAAGACCATTTAGAGCTTTGTAGATTTCTGATCTACCCCTATCATTTAAAAATGAAAGCAATTACATAAATCAAAATTACTATTCCAAGCTATCAAGAAGATAAACACCTCCTTTTCTAAAGACATACTGTAACATTCACAAGCACGGAGAACAATAAAAATGTTGTTAAAAAAAAGACATTGGGGACATTCTGTTTCAATTTTACTTACTTGTTAATTTTTTTATTCATTTTACATACCAACCACAGATCCCCCTCGTCCCTCCTCCTGCTCCCCCTACTTGTTAATTTTTAAGCCAAAATATGAACCAGATATAATGTTTGTTCAAAAAGTGCTATTTCTCAGTCAATGCACAAGTTTAAGTTTTACAGTAATATTTTTAAAAAATGCTTGGACAGACTAAAATAAATACTCTGTTCACAGAGAGAGAAAAAGAGATTTCATTTTCAATAAGGAGACGACCTCCCAGCCCCCATATAGGGGACAAAACCTATGGCCTTGTGTACACCAGGCATGTGCTCTACCACTGAGCTACACCCAGCCTTTTTTATATTTAAAAAGCAATAAACAGCACTATGAAAGCTTACTTGAAATAATTGTTTCTTCTCTGCTTGCTATATTTTGTTCATTTGTTCTGGTAATAATTATACAAAAGTTTACATAATAAAAGCATATAATGTAGATGAATTCTCCAGACCATTAAACATTAGAGTCATGCTTGTTGATATGTAAAGTTGTTTAGAAGGAATATGTTTAGAATTTTAGAAACAAGGTCATGCTACCACAGGTTTTACCGTTTAGACTGAAATTATTAAACACTCCTCCCATTATTGATGAGCCTTTGCCTGGAATAAACTGAGCAAACGAAGCTGGCAGATGTGCTAGTGCTCTGTGGAATAGTGTCACTTGGCTTTTTCAGAAGAAAAGCATTTTACAGAGCCAAGAAAGCAAAAGGAAACTTATGTCACATGCACTGACTGAGAAACAGGCTGGCTCAGAATATTCTACGATTTTTCATGGAAACAGAAGAGGTACTGGAATTGATGACCAAAAGGTGAAACCCAGTACAACAGCTCATGAACTCCTACAAGAGATACACATCTCCTTAGTCTTGAGCAGACTCTAAAGTCATCAACAGAAACCATTATCTAGAACTTGACCAGCTGTGTCCAACCTGCAGGCCACACACAATCCTCAATGGCCATGAATGTGGCCTAACACAACAGCATAAACCTGAGCGAAACATTAGAATTCAGGGGGCAATATTTTTGGCAACTCAACTGTTCCATTTTCAAGCATGAGCTCTGTAGCTGATAGCATCCTGCCTCAGTGTCAGAGGTTGGACATCACTAGAGAAAATGGAACGCTATCACGACTTTCTTCATTCCTACTGCTTCACATCTACAGAAGTATAATTCTGGTCCTTCCTAAACGGTATCTGTTAAGAATTGGGGGACTAAAGTATAGGTGAAGGGAAGAAGTGACCCCAAGAGGGATTAAGTACACTCAACTCCTGAATTTCACCTGAAAGAAGAGATGTTCTTTGATTTCCTCTGCATCCCGGGGGCCACATCCCAATCGCTTCTTGGGATCTTTCATCAAAAGCCGCTGAAGCAGGTCTTTAGCTAGAGCGCTCATTTCCTGGGGATATGGAGGCTCACTTTTTAAGATTCTCCTGTGGACAGACAAAATTTACTGTTGAACAACCAGAGGATGAAGTTACAGCAATGGATATTTTAGTGAAAACAAGTGTGGTGAAACATTTTGAAATTGAACCGTGTATTAAAGATGAGCGGCCAGGGAAATGGCTCAGAGCATAAGAGTACTTGCTGTCAGGCCTGAGTACTGGAACTCAGTCTCTAGACCTATATGCTGTTTTTATCTTCACACGTAGGGCAAGGCACACGTGTACTACCTCTCTACCCCCAAACAAACAAACAAGTCAATCAATCAGATAAATAAAGGGATGAACAGGAATTAAAAGAAAATCACTGGATTATTCTTCAGTATAAGTCAATCTTAATAAGAAACTATTATCTCAAATATTTCACTAGTGAAAATTGAAAAAGGGGAGCTTTGGGTTAGACTACACCTCCCACGTACAGTTAAGAATGATCCTCTGACAAAAGTCTTTAAACAAGTCTGAACAACTTCAGGTGAATTAAGTCAAGAGAAAACTATAGTGCCCCTCAACCTCATTTCTTCCTAGTTGAGTAGCATCCTTAAAGACCCAATGGGAACAAGGGAGACCATCCAGGACAGAACAGCCAGAGCCATGTGACTATGAGCTAAGTCTCACTATCTGAAACTTAAGCTTGGTTTCTCAGGGGTGAAAGCATCCGCTTCCCCATGTGCTATCACAACACAGACAAGCCAGCCCATGAGGAATGGCAGTCACAGACAGCGGAAAATGTGTTTACCAAGTTTGTTGGGAAATGTATTCTGTGGTCATATTAAACAACAACAACAACCTAAGTGTATGATTTCACCTCAGTAATTTAATGAGAAAACAATGAGATCAGTGAAATGGAGACCCTTAACACAGTACACATGGTGACAAGCTTCATTACTTGGGTTTATAAGATTTTTGCATTGTACAAGTTAATAAACTATTACAGGACTGGGTCTATAGCTCAATAGGAAAGCCCTTGGCTAGTATGAGTTCCTAGGTTTACTATCCAGAACCACAAATCTAAACCTAAATAAAACAAACAAAAACAAAACACCAAACAACAATGATAACAGGCAGAAAAAAAACCCTACAAAATAAATGTATGAAAGCATAGTATAATAAAACCATGGACTTCAAGGCCAGATGGAGGTTAAAAGCTGGCTCTGTTCCTTACTGGCTGTTTGACCTTGAGGTAGCTAATGAATTCCTTTGCTCCTCGGTTTTCTCACCTACAAAATGGGAGTAACAATAGTATCTACCTAAAATGAGTATCATGAATTAAAAAGACGTGAATAGTGACCAAGGCAGTACATAGTATAGAGCAAATGCTTATTAAGTGTGAACTACTGTTATAGTCCCTCATTTTAATGTAACCATAAAGTAGACAGAGAAGTTATATCAGCTAGCTACTGAGAATCATGAAATGATACTGGAACTATAATTTTTGGCAGAAAATTATAGCAATGATGTTAGTATCAAAGTTAATTCTATTTCAAAAACGCTATTCTGGGAACCAAAGAGAAGACTGGTACAAGAAGAGGAATAAGCCACTTTGCTCTTGCTATCTAACTGTCTGTTACTGCTCAATGATTGCAGGGTTTCAACTCCGGCAGAAGCAGACCTCTCCTTAGAGTAGACCCAGACATACCCGAGAAACCAGAGGCCCTTTCTCAGAGAAAACCAAATACAGCCTTTCCCGTTTCTCTACGCTTGCTGTACTTTTTGGAGGAAAGAATTCCTTGTGTAAAGGACTAGGGATAGACAAGCATACTGTTGATGGCATTGCCTATTGCTGCGTCAGGGTAGAGAAATACACACCATGGCTGATGTCATCTTAGGTTCCAACTCTATACCATCCACTACTTAAGCTTTGGCATGGCTGCAATGTCTGTGGGAAGTCTATCTACCATGTACCTAGAACAGAGAAGAACAACATCCAGTCCTAAAACAATACACAGAACACAAGAGGAGGAGCATCTGAAAACAAGATGGCTCTGTTGTCATGCTCAGTCTGGAAACAGGCTCACAGAGACAGTGGCCCAAGCTGGGGACTTGTGTCAGGAGCACATGAACCCGCAAGGGTGTGCAGGAGAGCATGCCCATATGCAGAGAGCTGACAGGTGCTATGAGGTAGGTAGCACAACAGGAAGAACGAAGAACGTGGGCTGAAATCTGAAGGAACTTCTTCTGGAAACTGGTGAAGAAGTGTAGAGAAGCACAGGAGTCAATCCCAAATCACAATATGGCCAAAACCAGGGTCACCTTGGCAGATGGTGACACATACTCCCCCTCAGCTTGGGGGCAGGAGGGGAGGAGGCATGGAGGAGCCTATGGAAAGAGGGTGGTAGGGTATCACTTCATTTGGTGTGGAGGAGGTACCATACCACTTCATGAGGTGGAGAACATCAGAAACGTATTCCTGTTGCAAAGGTGCAGGGCCAGGATGGGTCCTTAGTCAGTGAGAGGTGGTGAGGAAAAAGGGTTTATTTAGCCTTTACTCTGTGCCAACCTAACTCAGGTTGACCTTTCTTTTACAGCGTCCTATAGCCTATTGGGTAAAGGAAAATAACTTCAAACGAAGAGTTTGTCTCAGTTTCGGTCCTCAGTTGGTTGGCTTTGTTACTGTGGACCTCAGGAAAGGCTTCATACGTTGATGGTGGTAGGGAAGATGTAGTGGAGAAAAGATGCCCATCTCATGGGGGCTGGCAAGCAGAGACAGGAAGAAGAGTCCAGGACAAGATTCAATTTCCAAAAGCTACACATCTCATTGAAGCTGGCAAGTGGAGATAGGAAGAAGGTCCAGGACAAGACACAACTTTGAATGGCCTACTTCCTCCAACTAGGCCCCACTTCCTAATATTTCCACAGTCTCCCAAAACAGCACCCACCACCAATAGAGATCAAGCTTTCAACACCTGAGCCTGTGGGGAGACACTTCCTATTGAAACCATGACACATAGGCTTGATCATTCAACTTTAGAGTTTTTCCATTTCATGACAATGTTGCTGGCTTTCATGGTCTGGTTTCCATGTGTTACCAGAATCACAGAATTACTTATAAGCCACCCTGAGTTAGAAAGACTTCAGTAAACCTCACTCTCATCTTTTGCTAATACTAAAAAGGGGTGGGTAAGCTATTATAGGGTGTTTACTCAACAGTATACTATAGCCACTGCAAACTTATGTTTACAACAAGTTGGTAACTGGAGAATGCTTACAATATATAAATTTAAGCAAAACCTATGAAATGCAGAATTCCTAGTCTGAATAAAATACTATACCAAATAAAAATGAAATGAAAAAGTCTAAAATAGTACCTACCAAAATATTCTGTTTAAGGAAAGGCTCCCAAGCCCCTATCCTTAGCTGAGGAGCTACTGACAATTGATGGCTTCTGGGGAGGGAAAGTCAGTTTTTTGTAGGGGTGTGGCTCTGGTAGGTCACTACATTCTAGAGGATAGCCCCACACCCATGAGTATTATGGACAGCACAAATTGGTCTCCATGGGTTATTAAATAATGAGGGAATGGCTCTAAGAGAAATTAGGGGGAGGAATGAGAGGTGAATATAATCAAAATACCTTGTATAAAATTCTCAAAAATCGAAACTATAATTTTAAAAAAAGCCAAGAAAAATTAAATTCTGCTTGTCCCCAGGCAGTGGTGGCACAAGTGCCTTTAATCCTGGTACTTGGGAGGCAGAGGCAGACGGATCTCTGAGTTCGAGACCATCCTGGTCGTCTATGTGAGTTCAAAGACAGCAAGGTCTACACAGAAAATCCCTGTCTCAAAAAAAAAAAAAAATCCTGCTTGTCTTTGGGGCAGTATTTGTCTGTCTGTTTTTGAAACAGGGTCTCATCTGATGTAGCTCATGATAGCCCCGCTCCCCCCAACTGGTTATGTAGCTAAGCCTTGAGCTCTTGATCTTCCTGTCTCATGTCTAAAGTATAGAGATTATAGATGTGTGCCATTATGACTAATTTTGGGTGTTGTTACTGACAACTTCTCTTGTGCATGTTTTAAACTATTATAAACATTACTTTTAGAATAGGAATAAGATGAACTTCATTTCACAGATTCACTGAGAACACAGTGTGACAAGGGAATCTAGAACTTTCCATGCACAGGCCCTAGGGTGCCACTGTACACAATTGTCACCAACTGCGAAGTATTCTCTTTTCCCCTTACGCACAGCCCACGCTGTAGCTCCATTATGAATACCTCCCTGACAACCTGGTCCCCAAGGAACCACACCTCTTTTGTACTTTCAGAGTGTCTTTCCCCTCACACATTTATCAAAACTCCTGATACGATTTTTTCATGAATTTCTCCTATATCTTCCTACACACTACATAAGTTTACTTAGGACAAGGACCAAGCCTTTGTATTTTGCTTTCTCCTTAGGAGAAAATACTCTGCATATACTCCATTAATTAAATATATTTTCCTATTGTTTTAGGCCATAATTTGACAGCTTTTTTTTTTTTTTAAATCAGAAATGAGCATCTACCAGACAAGGAAAGAAAACAGAGCATGGAAATAAGCATTCCCAGTGAGACAGTATGAAGTAACGTCTCAGTCACCAAGTACTTTATCCCACCCAACCTCACAGCAGCTGGGTGGGTCCTTAGGACAAATGGATCTGTTTTTTGTTTGTTTGTTTGATCTGTACAACAGCAGCTGCTGCTGCCTACTTGTCAGGGTTGAGAATTTACCCAGTATAATGTGGGTAACTTCTCAGCTTAGATGCTAGCATGTAGTGTCCTGGCTGCTGGGGATATGGGGACAATTCCATTAGGGTACCTTCCTCTAGACATGGGAATGGCCTCAAAGGGGACAAAACATTCCAGGCTGTCACTTCACTTTGGGTGTTATGGAGTCCTCACTTGGTCCCTATAGCTTCTACCTCCCTCAGCCAAAGTTGTTTACTCACTGGAAGCAAAGATGATGTGGCAGCTTTGTCTGCTTTTGAAGAATCTTTGCCTACCCAGTCATCCAGTAGTT